CAAGACCTGAAAATAAACAAACTACCTGTCCCTCACTACTTCATTTCTTCTCTAGGTTTGCCTGAAGTCTAAAACCATTAGGAGCATTTTCCCTTCGTGGTCGGAGTGGAGTCTGAAATCCTGGCTGGGACGAGGATGTAAGGATAACGCAAACGTGGGGAAACAATATTTCAATAAGAAAAATAAATTAAAGCATATTCTGAAAGCTCGAACGAATGACTGACCAACACCTATCCAGACCAACCCTTATAGATGTTGGGGCGCAGGTGATGTCAGCCCCCTCCTGAAGATGGTGCATGTTTGTGATGGTAACACAGGGGTGATGCTGTCCTCAATGGCCTTTCTTTCCCCGTCTGTTTGCTCTGCCGTGTGGAAAAGTATTAATGTTTTAAAGAATATACGTAGATATATAATTAGTGTAAAACAAGTACACTTGACACACAGTGAGTATGACTCAGCAGCAAGTATATATGAATGATGTCTGGTGTCAATAGAGCAGCAGAATGCTTGTTAGTATTTTTTTAAGTTAATTGTGCTGGTGGGGTTTATGGGAGCAACTAATATCAGATTTTACCACCAATTTTAGAAGTCAGGTGCGAGTATCTGCAGTGTTTTAAGGTGTTATGTTACTAAAGGGACATTTATTTTTTACTTTTGTAATATGTTAATAAATGCTTTGTCTTGATTGAGATATGTCAAAGTATTTTGTGTTTAATTTTTTTTTTTTTTTTTAATAAAGGGGGCTTATTTTATTTAAACAGAACTGTATAAATAGATATTTATGCAGGGAGAAACATGGGAACACGTTTGCTTTCTGGGGGGGGGGGGGGGGGGGTCAAAAGGGAATTTAGGCAGGAGACGGTTTTGTTTGTTTGTTTGTTTGTTTGTTTTCCCCTTATGCTGTAAGGTCTACAGGTGTAAATAAATACACACAACGTGCATGCACACACACATGCTCAGTCTCTGTGCTTCACTCTTGAGGTCAGTTCTCGAGCTTCAGACACAGCTTCATCGTGAAGCGGCAGAAGGACTCGACCCGTTTGACCTGCTGTGTTTTATTTGTTGGGAAAGTCTGAGCATGAATCCTCTCGCCCACTTCTGTCTGTTTTGTGTGTTCTGAAGTGTAGCATGATTTATTAATCTAGAAAATGGCCTGTACTGTTTTTTGTTTTCCTTTCTTTTTTGCACACCGATGACTCGATGCTGTTGCGTTTCCTCTTCCGAAAGAGCTAACCTTTCTGCAGCTTCAGATTAAGCTTGCCAAAATTGTTCAATTCCGCACTACTTCCATCATTCCTGCCTGGTATTAATCTTCACCAACCAGTCCCGTTACTGTTTTAGCAACACCGCACCGTGTGATGATGCTTCTGTGTCTTGTTCCGATGGCGTTCTTTGGATCTGTATATTGTCCGTCTCGACTTGCTGTACTTCTGTGTGAAGTCCTGGCATTAAAAGCATGTTGAAAGAGGAAGCAGCCAAGAGACTGAACAAGAAAACCAAGGCTTGGTGGAAAAGGGGGCCACCCCCACTTGAGGGCTATAAGACTTTTGCTGATACCAATAAATGGACGTAGTCCTTTTTAAAAAATATAAAACTTTTTATTCGCATCGTTGTCCTCGTAAATGTTTGGATGTTTAAATGTTTGTTTTTAGCCAGAAAAATGTCTTATGGTGAACCGAACGGAGACGGAGGCTTTTTAAATGATCCGCACACAGTAACTACTACACTCCGACTGCTCAAACTCCTGCTTTTAATCAGATTCACAGCAGTACAGAAGCACATGGGCGCAACGCAAAAGGACCGAACACACGTCCATGCGGAGTTAAACGTTGACGCACTTTTGTTTCACTGTGTCGTCCAAACTTAGTGACTTTGTACCAGTGGATGGGCGATGCTCGCTGTCCCGTCTGCACCAGGCTGCTGTGTAGCAACTCGCACACCGTTTCAGCTGTTGCAGTAACCATCGTGACCCATCGCACGTGTACTGACGGACATTAAAGAAAATGTTGTGAACCACGTCGGTCTTTCTCCAAGTGACATCTCCAACACGCCATGAAAACTGTGCCCCCATCATCGTTTGCATCATGACACTTTGTAAATCAGAAACTGTGATGCTTTTTAATGGTTCTGAGTGTTTCTGTTTGTGCTGTGGGCAACAACGTGGTTGTGTGTTGACACCACCAGTCTGACAAAATTACTGTTTTGTTTTTGTTCGGAAACATTGTTTTATATTGTGCGTGTGTATCCATTTCCACACAGTCATGGGCATTTAAAAAAAAGTGTGAATTAAATTGGAATAAGTTGAGGGGTGTACTACAAAGCAAAACGACAACACGAACGAGCCTAAAGTTGGAAATCAGTGGTAACTTTTATTTAATGCAGAAGAGGCGGTTATGTTCATTTTAGGATTTAATCTGTAAAATAAGCACTGCCGTATGCCATCTTTTTTACTAATGATGGTAAATAGATTAACTTTAAAGTAGCATCTGTGTGTCTGAAAATTAAAAACCTATTTGAATAAGCCTGAGAGGTGTTGAGTAAACTTTGTGCTTTCACCGTGCGGACAAAATATGAACATTTGGACCATGAAATTTAACCATGAAGCTAACCAAACATTTGAGCTGAGCCCAACTTGCTTTGTAGTGCATCTTTTCTGAATTGATGTCTGGGGAGGGAATTTGTCAAAGTATTTGTGCAGATAATACTTTTATCATTTAATAATCATATTAATAAAGTCAAAATCTAACAATTGACATTTTGGATAATGGTGGCAAAGAAGCTGAACTATTCTTGAGCAGTTAAAATGTGTTCATGTCTGACATTTGGGGCCCTTTGGAAACAGACCTGACAAATGTTGTTACACCTGAATTTGTTTTGTGCAACAAAAATATGCTTTTGAAATTTTTAGGTTTAAAAAAAGTGGCAAGTTTCTCTTATAATTATCTATGCTGGTACAGATGCTGGTGAGCTCCTCTAATCAGGTTTCCACTATTTGAATTCTAAAGTAGTAACAAAAGAGCAATTTCTATTATCTCAAAAGGTTATTGCTTTAATTTTGACAGTCCAGTGCCAAGTACTTAATGAAAAGTTAATTTATTTTGTGAATCAATGTTCAGTTTTTATTTTAGGCTATAAAATCTGAGCCTGAATGAAAAATCTAAATAATTTTGCGCCACTGTTTCTGGCTTCTGTAAGACAAATTAAGATTTCATTGTTCAAATACTTTGGCAAATATGAGGATAAAGGTTAAAAACAGGAAATAAAAAGTTACACAAGACTTTTAACAGCTACACTATATATGCAGTTTTACAAATGGAAGAAATATGCATGTCTTTCTGGTAATTTTTCCACTGTTGATAAAGAAAATGGAAATGTATGTAATTTGCATCCTCGAGGCTATGGAATGGTTGTTTGAGATAAAAATAAAGTGGTGTGTTATTCTGCATTACAAATGCAAAAATATTAGCAAAAGCCTTAGCTTGATTGTGCCCCTTTAAAAATAAATGTCTTACGATGTGACCTGGCAACAAGAAGGGGCGACATGTTTAAAGTGAAGTGGATGCTGGATTTTTGCATGATCATACAGTTAATAAAACTAACTGAAAGCTGTTTGTTTGCTCTTTTAATTACTTGAAGATGAAGAAGTGTTTCATAAAGATAGCATCTGGATATCAATGCTAAGCTATCTAACTAAAAAAAAGTTGGCTTCAAATCTAACTTTCTTGCTGTAAATGAAATCAAACAAGGTTACCCTGGCCTGAACTCTTATCTAATGTTACAGTCTGAAACCCAGTAGTTTTCCAGATATACTGGTGGTATGCAATTCTAAAATACAAGTACACAACATGATCAAAGCACTTGTCTCTACAGACTTGACAAATCTGAATGTACACCAGCCAGAGCTCTCTACTCAAACATCGTCATCGACTCATTTTTAGTTTCTGTAGGTAAACATGAAGTTGCCAAACATTCAAACTTTAAATGTTTTAACACCATTTATAAAAAGTTATTTTTTTATTTTACCTCAATGAATATATTTAAATGCAGATTTTTAAAGTCAGTATGAAAGCAGGTTTTCATTATTTAAATTTTATTTATTTTGTATTTGATATTTAATTTGCCTTTTGGGCAGGGCTACTCAACTAAATGTGGGCCGCAGTTACTGAAAGCCAAGAGCTCAGAGGCTGGACATCCAGCACTTGTTGTCATTAAGTTGGTTTGTTTTTTGGTTTAAAATCTCGTTTTATTTAAAAATGAACCCATTGGTGGGCCGAACTGAGTTCATCCGTGGGCCTGATTTGGCCCTCAGGCCGCCAGTTGAATAGTCCTGGTCTATAGGTTTTCCCGTTTTATGTGCAGCTCTTTGGTCAACAGCAGTCTTAAATGTGCTTTAAAAGTTTACTTGTCAGGTTTGGACAAAGGTATTCATTAAACTTGAGGGGTGCAACATGTTTATTATATGAAACATAATAAATAAAACCAATGTTTCATATTTCTGTTTAGTCACTGTGCAGTGCTAACACTGACCTGTAGATGGCGCCAAGTCACCTGAAGTAACCAGAAGAGACAAAGAAGCTCTCAATTTACACAACATAGTTTGTATTCACTTACTGCCACTGCTTTATCTTTGCATCTCAGTACTTTTTATTTTTCTTCTTTAAAAACTAAAGAAAGAGTCATTAGTGGCAAGTAAACATATTTTTGGTTAAGTTCCACTGGTTTATACAGACCCTGTGTTGCCCTACACAATATATATTTTGTTTTTTGATTCATGACAGCTCGTGTCTATGAAGGAAACCAGAATGACATTTAAGTCATCTTAGTTTGTGCTCGATTAGATGAGTAGGTTGAACAATATGCATCAACGGTGGTCTGTAATGAACATGAAATAAAATGTTTTGTCTTATTTTTTACAAAACCATTAAATGCCTCAAAGGTTAAAATGTTTTATCTGTAGCTACATGTGTTACTGATTAACTTTGTCAACAGTATTTTATTTGTAGTTACTTGGGAAACTCAAACGGACACTTAAAGATGAAGTAGTAAATCTCAAAGTTTGATTAAGCAGTATTTTTAAAACTACAAGCATTATCTGATGTTCCCAAATCAACATTGTGTGTAAATTAAAACAAAAATAAATAAATCATACACTGTAATCTTAATCACCTTTAATTACATCATCGGGACATGTAAAAGTGGAAAAGGGGAAAAAAAAAAAAAAACATTGGGTCTTTATCGCCCACATGTTCAACACGACAGAAATCTGACATGTTCTGTAAGAATCAGGCAGGTCACCTATACTCCAGTCAGACTTCAGTAGCACCTCATTAGGCCCCCCTCAGAACAACAAACAGACTGGGGTGATAACATTTCTATGATAAAGTTGGATTTTTAGAAGATAACCCGTATAGTCTTTATTGGGACATAAACCAAAGCAGACGCCGACTTGTAGAAGATCTGAAACTTTGATCAGTCTCGGATCAAAATCAGTTCCCTCAGAGCAGTCATGGCTTTATGTCCAAGTGCATCCTGGCGTTTAAGTCTCCGTCTGAACAGCAGCCTCCTCATTGATTGGATAAAGGAAGTGATGGCTCCATGCAGATTGTTTTTCTTCAGGATGAGTTTTGTGCAGACATGTTTATGTTGTCTTTGTGCGTTTTGCTCATCTATAAGACTTATCTACCACGGCATTGGGCCAAAAAAAAAAAAAAAAAGATCCTCCTGACTTTGAAGTTGTGTAGAAGACAGCATCATCAGTTCAGTTTAGGATTGGTTGTGTGAACTTTGGCACTTAAATCTTAGTCCACATTAGCAATCATCCATGCTGAAACACAAGTGGCAGTGCTATTTGCCAAAATGCTTTTTAAAGAGGACAAAAAAATGTCTATACAACTGTGTAGCGTTCCACTGACACATCCTTGATTCAAGGAAAAAGAAGCAGAGAAGGAAGCCGCTTTTCTCCAACGAGCTCTCCCAGATTCCCTCGTAAAAAGGATGAAGCTGGGATATACAATCTTTTCTCACTGTAGGCGGTGGAAGATCAGCTCTACAATGCTTCAGACACATAACTCCAAGGCCACCTTTCTCTCTGAGTCCCATGCAGGCAAAGAGAAGAGTGAAGAATCAGAAGAGAAAGAAGACAGGTTAGAAAAACTGGAAATAAAATTGAACTAAAAGTACAAATGAAAAAAAAAAGCTTCAGTCTGGTAGAAAACAAACAAACAAAAAAAAAACGATGCAGCAAAAGGGGAAAGCAGCCAGCTTGGATCTACATGCATAGAGGGAAGGATTTCAGCGTTACACTAAAGCCATGCAGTGACGAGCACAAAAACCTGAGCAGTTATTAAAAACAGGACACATCATGGAGGGGAGCTGCAGGGCTTCTCCTGTTCGGAGAGTCGGCACAAAACGGGCACCGTTGTAAAATGAACCATATGCCATGCAGACCTGGTCCCATCAGGGTCTGTGCACAGGCGTGGGGGGGGGGGGGGGGGGGGGTCATAGAACAGCTGAGAAAAGCAGGAGGGAGCAAGTGAAAAGCATGATGGAAGACATCTGTTACACCACGTTTTAGGGTTCCCATGGAGACAAGAACGGCCCCCTCCCAAACTCCCCTTTTCCTCCCGCTCGAGCAGCACTCACTCACCACGCGCTCGCAGCATGGCGGCAGCCGGACGGGGGGGCAGGAGGGGGCAGGGTTTAGCAGCCTTGCTGCTGCGGCGCCCCGCTCCTGCTCTTAGACTTTCTGCCCTCCACATCTGTAGGATAAAGGCAACGTTTATGTAACATCTGCAGAGCGACAGGACACTTTGATTCACTGTATAATCACATGCACCGTGAATAAAAACATCGAAACGAGTTCAAAACAGCGACCGTGACATGAGAATAAATAGCTTTAATAGTTTTGGCACAAAGAGAAGTGCTTGTCATATTATAAATAATGTCAGTCAAAAATGATCAACTTTTAAGTTGTGATGCAGGAGCAGTAAAAAATTAAATAAAAATAAATGATGTACGTTTTTTGCCTTAACATTTTTAAACTCACCAACTTGCATTACCCATCATGTATTTATAACTAGCTAAAATCTAAACTTAATCCTCACCATGTTAGCGTAATCCAACACCTTCACTGTCAAATATCACCTGTTCCCTTAATTACCCCCTCCCCACCACCACCAGAGATGATTTTGAGAAAAAAGCTTCAGCATTTTGTCACATCACCTGCTCAGAAAAATGTTCCAGCACACAAAATGAAATTAAAATAAAATGCACAAAACAAACAGTGCACACGTCATCAACAACAAAACAAAAGAGACAAAGTGAAAGCATTTTGATCCCAATAATCAAAATGAACATTTCAGATCACGCTGAAAACAATAAAGCCATGCAGACAAGTGGAAATCAATCAAACCATCACCAAGTGGGAAGTGACTTAAGACTCAACGTGACAAATGAAGTTGTTTGTTTTGTTGACAGTTACATCAAGAGGTTCTGTTTCTTCAACCAGTTTGGACCTTCACTCAGGTTAGATTTTGAAAAGGAATCGAAAGCTAAACAGAAAAGCATTTTGACAGGATTTAATCTAAAACCCTCTACAATAGATTATAGTTTCAGCCAGTGAAACAGTTCAATGGAAGAAAAAAACATGGCCAAAGCTTCTGGGTGAAGGAGCAGTTCAAGTCTTAACTTGAAAGCAAAAAGGAGAGGACAAAAAAAAAAATCAGCACCACAACAAACAGAAAATGATCCACCAAGAAAGAGCGTTGTGATAAACACATGCAGAGAAGCTGAAACAATGTCTCCCGTTCTTTCATTTCCTCCTAGTTCAGTAGAGTCGTGATCATTGAGAGCAGTGAATCACACGCAGCCGTACTCGTACCACAGAGACTGGTTCTCCTCTGCGCTCAGAGTCAGATCCGAATCGTTCCCTAAACTGGGATCAGCTCCATACTGAGCTGGGTCTGAGCTGGATCTCATCTGCTCATTGAGTGGACTGGGAGGGTTCTGGTTCTGACTGTGGTTTGGCGCAGGAGGAGGGTGGGATTTATTTGTGACAGGAGGCCCACTGATGTTGCTGACTAGGGTGGGGTTCAGGGACAGGAAGGGGAGGGTTTCTGCTGACTCACTAAAGATGGAGTTCATGAACACTGACTCTACAGTGAAGGAGGGGCCGAGGAAGGACTGGAGGCTGGTCAGGTCTGGGTCCTCCGAGCTACTGCAGGGTAAGCTGAGGGATTTGGGCATAAGGGAGGTGGTGGAAACGGGGCCTTGGAAGCGGGTGCTGTTGGGGTGGTACTCACTGGGTGTCGGCTGCGAGCGAACTCCAGCCTTGGGGGAGGGGACGGGAGGAGAGGCGTCAACAGAAACGGGCTGCCGGTGATCTTTGGACAGCAGGTCGTGGATGCTGGTGCGCCGTGTGGTACCTTCGGCGGTGGAGATGACACTGCTGGCCCGAGGCAGCGTGGAGGAGGACGAGTCCAGGCGCTCTGAGACGGATGTGGCCTTGCCCTGGGAGGACAGACTGGAGCGGATCGGGGCAGAGCCTTTTACGCGGGTGCTCTCAGCCTTCCGCAGGGAAGGGCGGGTGGTTTGCCCCGAGGAGCTTTGCAGCCGGTTAGCGTTGCTCAGTGCTGCTTTCCCGCTGGATGAGCGCAGGATGCCCCGGCCCTTAGTACAAGTGCGTTCTTTTGGCACATGGTCAGAGGAGGTGGAGAGACGAGGAGAGTCTACAGTGAGGTTCTCCTGACTGCCAGACTAAAAGTAAATAAAACACAGAGCAAAATAATTCCATTAAATTAACATTTCTTTGCACTGTAATAAACAACAACTCAATTTACAAGGCCTCACCTCTGCAGGATCAATACCCTCGTCCAAGAACTGCTGCAGGGAAAGAACTTCGCTGGGGGACGCCATTTTCTTGACCTGCGAAGGACCGGAGCTGCCAGTGGAACCGGATGGCTCCAGAGGCCTGCACAGCTGCAGGGGGCTCTGGTGGGAGGAGCGAGAGGAGGTGGGCTGCTGGACAGGGCTGCTGCCACTACTGGACCACACCTCCTGGTCCAGACTCAGGCTGAACTCCCCACTGCTCTCACTCTGAGGCCTGCTGAGGCGGCCGTTCAACGTGCCTGCCGGACAACAACAATAAGATGAAGAGGAAGTGATGGGGTTTGCTTGTTGACAGAAACTGCTTAAGTTCTTGAGAACACAGCAACTCTTAGCCTTTAAATCCAGACAGGTTGGCCTGATTCAAACAAAACACAGAAGGTCTGACAGAAAACATCCAAATGAAAAAGACAAAGACATTAATGGACATAAATCGAGGTGGAGGAAGATGGAGCATACCTTTGCCCTCCAGAGGAGAAGCGAGATGCGAGTTATTGTTACTATTGCTACTGGTGGTCCTGTTGCTATGGAGACTGGAGGGTCTGGAGGCTGGGTAAAGGAAAGAGGGAAGGCGAACACACATCTACAGTAAGGACTTGTACAGACTTGCATGTATCCACATCAACATGCTCTAAAAGGAGAGAGACACAAAGTGACAGAGCATCACCTGCTGGGACAGCAGATGGCTCATGCCAGGTTGAGGGACAGAAAGGGTGGCTCAGTGCCAGGTTACTGCACCAATATGTCCATCTAACACAAAGAGAGCACTGAAAGAAAGGATAGCAACACCTAAACAGGAGGGTCAGTGTACTTGGGCAGAAAAGGGAAACTGATAAAGTGTGAGTGCATTAGTGGAAACAAGAGGAAGGAAGTCCAAGAGAACCAAGAAAACATGACCTTGCCCTTTCCTGTATCCACAGTGATCAATTCAGCTGGGAACCAGTGTTAGTAAAATCATCTCCGAATGGTTTTAGAATTAACACCAACTTAGATTTAAAATGAGCCTTCAGAGATCTGATCTACGCAACAGGTGTGAAGGAAAGCAGCCCGTTATTTGTAGCCCAAAGTGATGGTCACTGCAAAGTAACAGCACTTACTACAGATGCTACAGGGCACTCTGCACATAGCTCTCAGCTCAAGAGGACGACACAAAGCAAGTGCACTGCTAGACCCCTGCAGGCCTGATGAAACACACACATATATCCATAATGCATACAGTAATATCGGAAGTGTTTACAGGACGTCACGCTTCTCACTACTGCTGCTCAGAAGACAAAACAAGCGAAGTTTAATGCTCTTTAAAGTCTGAAAACAAATAAAGCATTCAGACAAGTTGCTTGACGAATAAATGGGCACCCCAAACATTCACTTGATACTCTGCTAAGTTGTGTCTGGAGTCAGAGTAAAAGCAGAAGTCTATTTCCTGCACCCATTACATGGATGCACTAAGAAATGGGTCTCACAAGAATACATTGTATTTTCTAAGAGCGTTCCGGAAACTCATCTGCTAAAAAGGAGTCCAGACTGAGAAGCAGGTAAATGGGAAGCAAATGGCCAGAGAAGATCAGGTTACATGGTTTGAAAGTCTGTTGAACTTCTGCAACAAACAAAAGCAAATACTAAAAGCTTTATTTTAACAGAAATGCTTTATTTAAAAAAGGAGCAAACGACTAATATAGACAGAGAGACCATAGCTGAGGTGTTGGGAATGTGTGGCAGAAGCTCGGCTGCTGTTGAACATCTGGATCATCTACGTTTGAGAAGATCAAGCCTCAATAATCGCTGCCTGGCTGCAGATTACCTGGATAACATCCCAAAGTCTGAATTAATCCGTTTTATTTTCACAGGAAACTGATTTTGACCTCTCAGCTAAACCTGCTGTAGCTCCGGCTTAATCGAAGAGAAGGAACCGAGTTGAAAGAGAAGCTTGGAAGAAGACATGACCTGCTTTTTTTTTGGTAACTTGTTCAGTCTTATTGTTTTGTTTGAACGGTTCTTTGACTTCTTATTGATGATGAGTGTGTCCACACGTTATCGTCTAATCATGCGACACGTGTAAGTTTTGTTGCTGCCATCGTGTTCAGTTTCACCTTGACTTTTGGGGTCATCCGAGGAGCCTGCAACATCCTCGCAGGAAGCATTTTCTGTGGAGATACAGAGAAGAGTGTTGATTACTGGATTTTTTTTTTCTTTAGGTAAAAATGATAATTACAAAATATCAAAATTTAAAAAATAAAGAGGACAACATTAAAGATCAAGTCGAGCTTTCTTACCTTTGACCTGAAGCCGGTGCTTGGCTCTGCTCTGTCCTGTGGGGGGCAGGCTCAGGACAGCACAGTCGATGGCGTTGGTGGACAGGGCGAGCTCTTTCATGCGCTGTCCACCACGCTTGCTGCTGCCGCTCACGCAGACGTCCCCCCGTCCAGGTTCATCCAGGTTGTCCGTGCTACCTGCCCACTGTGGCCCAGAAACACCCGCCACTGCCATCGTCTGCAGCAGGTCATTCATGGCTGAACAAAATGATGCAAACGTTAGACGCAAACCAGTTGTGGAAAACTAAACCAAACAAACAAAAAGTTTATTTCCATGAACACTAACACAGGGTTAGTATGGTTTAACTGATTTTAAATGTTTCATGAAGGATTTGGCTCACCGGGGTACACATTTGGAACAAAAAAAAAGAAGCTTTTCTAAACAAACAATAAGCACTTCTGTAAATTGTAGTTATTTTTTTAAACTTAGCATTAAGGCATTAATCTAGTTTGGAAAGTCCATTTTGTGTTGTTAAAATTGTCTTTCCATAACAATAACACAAATTTACAGAGCAAAACAAACCTGCATTTTTTTAAAGAACTGAAAGCACATGCAGGCATACAACCAATATATCAACCAAAGTGCACAAAGATGGAATCATCCTGGACTGTTTTTAAGTTCTTATTCTGGACATTGACTGTCTTCTTGCACTTTGTCCTTTTTTGTGACAACAGAGAGGCATGAAGGCATGCAAAGCTGCTCAGAGCAGCAGCAGCACACAACAGATCATACGGCGAGTCCATGTCAGCAGAGTAAGATGCGAGATGCAGCCCGATGACAGAGCAGGAGAGTGAGATAAACAGAAGGCTCCATCTCAAGTTCTCCATGATGACTCAGAGTGCTGAGCAAGCGGCTGGTGATTCATGCTGTAGTCAAAAGTGCGAGCAAACACATCACAGGCTCATGAAAGGCAAACCTGCATTCTCTCCCACTGTCTCACCTGAACAGGCCAACCTCTCACACACACACACACACACACACACACACTTACTTTCATTCAGAAAACACCAAATGAAACCAGTGAGCATGTAAAGCTGCCCGGTAAGTGATTCATGTAGTGACCAAACTGAAAGCTTTGGTCGAGAGTTGCCATTCACAGCACAAGAGACAACTACATGAAAGAAACCCTTTAATATCCACTTGCATGCGTCTACTTTTCAAAAATCTACAATAAGTGAGAGAAAAGTGAGACTAGACTGGTGAAGGCTTAAAGATATACTCTACAGGAAAAAGTACGGTGACCGTGAGGTGTAAATGAACATTTGAAAAAAACTGAATTACATTAAGCCAAAGAGGAAGTGGCCAGAATCACATTTGAAAAAAACGGAATTATATTTAAAAAAAATGGAACTACATTAAGCCAAAGCAAAAGTGGCCAAAGCGGAAGTGGCCAAAGCGGAAGTGGCCAAAGCGAAAGTGGCCAAAGCGGAAGTGGCCAAAGCGGAAGTGGCCAAAGCGAAAGTGG